GAACTGATTCCATGGCACCGAACAACAACAACAACCACAACATCTATTGTCAGTGAATTTTCGACGAGGATGCTAAGTCCATTCAATGGGGAAAGAACAGTTTCTTCAACAAATAGTGCTGGGTCAACTGTATCTCCACATGCAAAAGAATGAAGTTGGTTCCATACCTCACACCATATACCAAAAATTAATTCAAAGTGAATCAAAGACCTAAATATAATACGAAAACCATAAAACTCTTAGAAGAATACATAGAGGTTGTCATGGATTGACTTGTGTCCCCCAAAAGTATTTGTCAACTTGGCTAGATCATGATTCCCAGTATTGTATGACTGTCTACCATTTTATCATCTGATGTGATTTCCCTAGGTCTTGTAAATTCTATCACTATGATGTACTAAGATGGATTAGTGGCAGTTATATTGATGAGATCTACGAGATTAGATAGTGTCGTAAGCCAATCTCTTTTGAGATATAAAAGAGAGAAGCAAGCAGAGACATGGGAAACTCATACCATCAAGAAAGAAGTATAAGGAGCAGAGCGTGTCCTTGGACCTGAGGTTCCTGCACTGAGATGCTTCCAGACCAAGGGAAGACTGATGCATCACAAGGACCTTCCTCCAGAGCCAACAGAGACAGAAAGCCTTCTCCTGGAGCTGATGCCCTGAATTTGGACTTGTACCCTACTAGACTGTGAGAAAATAAATTTCCCTTTGTTAAAGCCATCCACTTGTGGTATTTCTGTTATAGCAGCACTAGATGACGGAGATAGGCGTAAAGCTTCAAGTTCTTGTTTTTAACAATGAATTCTTAGATATGACACCAAAAAAAGTACAAGCAACAGAAGACAAAACAGATAAACTGGATTTCATCAGAATTAAAAGCTTCTGTGCATTAATGGACTTTATCAAGAAAGTGAAGAGACAACCTACAGGATGGGAGAAAATATTTAGTAATCATATATCTGATTAAGTGCTTAATATCTAGAATGTGTTAAGTACTCCTATAACTCAACAACAAAAGGACAAACAACTCAATTAAAAAATGGGCAAAGAATTTGAATAGACATTTCTCTAAGGAAGATATACAAATGGCCATCAAGCACAGGAAAAGATGTTTAATGTCATTAGTTATTAGAGAAATGCAAATCAAATCCACAATGAAATACCTCTTCACATCTAAGGATGGCTTTTATCAGAAAAATGAAAAATATGTGTTGGCAAGGTTATGGAGAAATTAGAACCCTTGTGCATTGCTGGTAGGAATGTAAAATGGTGAAACCACTGTGGAAAATACTTTGATGGTTCCTCAAAAAGTTAAACACAGAATTACCATATGACCCAGCAAGTCCACTCCTAGGTATATACCCCAAAGACTTGAAAGAAGGGACTCAAACAGATACTTATACACCAATGTTCAATGCAGCATTATTCACAACAGCCAAAAGGTGGAAACAATCCAAGTGTCCATCAACAGATGAATAAACAAAATGTGGTATACATGTACAATGGTTGGTAAACATGAATAATAGTTGTGTTAACTGGTCCTCCTTTTAGATGTATGGATATTATCCTATCACTGACAGTGTTGTACTTCAGGATAGATCTTGAAACGTTCTTTTTGACGATAAATACGACACCACTCCTCTTCAATTTGTTATTCCTGGCATAACAGACTGCAGGTAGGTCTGTCCTATTCAAAATGGCCAATACCACTCCATTTCAACTCACTAATGCCTAGGATATCGATCTTTATGCTTTCCATTTCATTTTGGATGACATCCAATTTTCCTTGATTCATACTTTGTACATTCCACATTACGATTACTAATGAATGTTTAGAGCTGTTTATGCACCGACCACTAATGCCAAAGACGAAGAAATTGAAGATTTTTACCAACTTCTGCAGTCTGAAATTAACTAAACACACAGTCAAGATACACTGATAATTACTAGTGATTGGAATGTGAAAGCTGGAAACAAAGAAGAAAGATCTGTAGTTGGAAAATATGGCCTGGGTGATAGAAACCAAGCTAGAAATCACATGATATTTCGCAAGACCAACAACCTATTCATTGCAAATACGTTTTTCAGCAACATAAACGGTGACTATATACGTGGACCTTGCTGGATAGAATACACAGGAACCAAATAGACTACATCTGTGGAAAGAGACAATGGAGAAGCTCAGTTATCATCAGTCAGAACAAGGCCAGGGGCTGACTGTGGAACAGACCATCAATTGCTCATATGGAAGTTCAAGTTGAAGCCGAAGAAAATTAAAACAAATCCATGAGAGCCGAAGCACAATGTTGAGTGCATGCCACGTGAATTTAGAGACCATCTCAAGAACAGATTTGATGCATTGAACACCAGTGACCGAAGACCAGATGAGTTGAGGGATGACATCAAGGACATCATACAAGAAGAAAGCAAAAGGTCATTAAAAGGACAGAAAAAAAAAAAAAAAGAACATAATGGATGTTAGAAAGGACTCTGAAACTTGCTCTTGAAAGTCGAGTAGCTAAAACAAATTGAAAAAATGATAAGGTGAAAGAGCTGAACAGAAGATTTCAAAGGGCAGCTCAGGAAGACAAAGTAAGTATAATGTAACGTGCAAAGACCTGAAGTTAGAAAACCAAAAGGGAAGAATAAGCTCGGCATTTCTCAAGCTAAAACAACTGAATAAAAATTTCCAGCTGCAAGTTGCAATACTGAAGGATTCTACAGGCAAAAAATTGAATGACGCAGAGATAATCAAAAGAAGATGGAAGGAATACAAAGTCACTGTATCAAAAAGAATTGGTCAATGTTCATCCATTTCAGGAGGTAGCATATGATCAAGAACGTACAGTACTGAAGGAAGAAGTCCAAGCTGCACTGAAGGCATTAGCAAAAAACAACGCTGCAGGAACTGATAGACTACCAATTGAAATGTTTCAGCAAATGGATGCAATGCTGGAAACTCTCACTCGTCTACACCAAGAAATTGGGAAGACATCTACTTGGCCAACCAACTGGAAGAGATCCATATTTGTGCCCATTCCAAAGAAAGGTGATCCAATAGAATGCGGAAATTATCGAACATTATCAATAATACCATATGGAAGTAAAATTATGCTGAAGATATTTAAAAAACAGCTGCAGCAGTACACAGACAGGGAACTGCCAGAAAATTGCAGCCGGATTCATAAAAGGACATGGAACGAGGGATATCACTGCCGATGTCAGATGGATTTGGCTGAAAGCAGAGAATACCAGAAAGATGTTTACCTGTGTTTTATTGACTATGTAAAGGCATTTGACTGTGTGGATCATGACTAATTATGGATAACAATGTGAAGAATGGGAATTTCATAACACTTAATTGCGCTCATGAGGAACCTGTACTTAGACAAAGAGGCAGTTATTTGAACAGAACAAGGGGATACTGCATGGTTTAAAATCAGGAAATGTGTGTCAAGGTTGTATCCTTACACCACACTTATTCAATCTATATGCTGAGCAAATAATCCAAGAAGCTGGACTATATGAAGAAGAACGAGGTATCAGGATTGGAAGAAGACTAATTAACAACCTGCAATATGCAGACGACACAACTTTGCTTGCTGAAAGCAACGAGAACTTGAAGCACTTACTTATAAAGATCAAAGACTATAGCCTTCAGTATGGATTATACCTCAACATAAGGAAAACAAAAATCCTCACAAGTGTACCAATAAGCAACATCATGGAGAACAGAGAAAAGACTGAAGCTTTCAAGGATTTCATTTTACTTTGATCCACAATCAACTCCCATGGAAACAGCAGTCAAAAAATCAAACGGCATATTGCATTGAACGTATCTGCTGCAAAAGACCTCTTTAAGGTGTTAAAAAGCAAAGATGTCACTTTAAGGACTAAGGTGTGCCTGACCTAAGCCATGGTGTTTTCAGTTGCCTCATATGCATATGAAAGCTCGACAATAAATAAGGAAGAAAGAAGAAGAATTGATGTCTTTTAATTATGGTGTTGGTGAAGAATAGTGAATATACCATGGACTGCCAGAAGGATCTGTCTTGGAGGAAGTACAGCCAGAATGCTCCTTAGCAACAAGGATGGCAAGACTTCATCTTGCTCACTTTGGACTTGTTATCAGGAGGGACGAGTCCCTGGAGAAGGACATCATGCTTCGTAAAATAGAGGGTTAGCGAAAAAGAGGAAGACGCTCAACAAGATGGATTGACATGACAGCTGCTTAACAATAAGCTCCAATATAGCAAAGATTGTAAGGATGGTACAGGATTGTGCAGTGTTTTGTTCTGCTGTGCATGGAGTCGCTGTGAGTCAGAACTCACTTGATGGCACCTAACAACAATGACATGTGCAGTGGAATATTATTCAGCCATAAATAGAAATGAAGTTCTTGTATCTGCTATGGCAAGAGTGAACCTTGAAAACATTACACTAAGTGAAATAAGAAGGAGCTGTGGTGGCATAGTGGTTAAATGCTTGTCTGCTAACTGAAACATCAGTGGTTCAAACCCACCAGATACAAAGGGACAATTATTGTATGATCTTTTTTATATAAAATATCTAGAATTGGCAAATGCATAGCGGCAAAAGCGTAACAGTGGTTACCAGCAGCTGGCGGCTGGGAAGAATGGACAGTTATCCATTAAGTTATACTGAATTTCTGTTTGGGTGATGATAAAGTTTTAGAAATATATAGTGGTGATGGTTATACGATATGGTGAACGTCCACCTAAAAATGGTTATACATATTTTACCACAATAAAATTAGAAAACAGTGCCTGTCCTTTGCACATGTAATAACTCCCCAGGTGATTCTAATTTGTAGCTACGGTTGAGGACCAGAATTATCCTTTATTCCCCATCAAGTATTCTTATTTTCAATACTTCATTACAAACTGTGTTGAAGGCTCAGTAAATAAAGAGTATTATTGGCATAAAATTTGTATAACTCTGAAGACACTGAAATGATGAATACAGAAAACTTACTTGGAAGACTTCTGGGATGTTGACTTTCGGAGCATTTGTTTGTGATTGGTTGGGGTTTTGGGGACCAGAGAGGACGATGAACTTGGAGGTGGCACCACTTTTTGTGACAGTGTAATTGGCTTCTGGCCACTTGCTGTGGCACTTGAAATTCTGCAGCCTGCACCATTATTCATTGTCCATAAACTGGAGTTAGGTAGTGTCTGGCTGCCAAAGATTGCCTACAAGAGAAAGAAAAAAAATGATTGATGGAGATCCCCTTCACTACCCATTTGCTATATGGGAATAACTGGTTTGTAATCCTGAAATGAGACAAAAGGAAAAGGGAAACTGTTAAAATAATTTTTTTAGGAACAACTTCTACCATGCTGCTAGTACAGGTCTACATTCAGAGAAGGAAAATCTCTTGAAGTAGAAAGTTGAGATGGTTTTGTTGGAAGTACACGGAGCTAGGAATCAGGGCATCTGGTTGTTCCACATGCGTGAATTAGAAAAGCATTTGTCTATTTTAGTCTTGGTTTCTCTTATTGTTAAATTGTTAAATTGAACAACTATTTATTGTGTGTCTTCTACTGGGTGTCAAGTATTAGAAACACAGCACAGAATAAAAACTGACTTGAAACTTGACTCAACCCCCTCCCCCGCCCCGCCCCTCAAAACTTTGAACTCCTCTAGAGGTTTTGCACACTTGAAGAAAGGGAAAAAGCCAGTGTGGCTAGGGCATAGTGAGCAAAGGGAGGGAGTTGAGAGAGATGAAGCTGGAACAAAAACAAGACCATGCATGGCTTTGGGGGCCTTGTATTTTTAGAATTCTGTTGTAGGAATACCTTGTTGACTTAAAGATTAACATAAAATTTTACGTTTGAAAACACTTCCAAAGTAAATTACATGAATACAAGATCAACACAAGGGTACTTTTGCTCAGAGGGTTAAGCCTTCAAATAAAGACCTAAAATCACCATTTAAACATTAAAAACATTAATACATATCTGTAGTTAGGGTGAGAATATATATTTCTTCAAGTGGTTCCTCAAAAAATTCTGACAATGAACTAACTTATTAGAAACAGTCTGTGTCACAAATTTTGTTACTGATCCTTTAGTACTATTAACACCACTGTCAACATGCATGCACTATACAGAAAAGCTTTACATTTTAAATAATATTAAGAGAAAAATAAAATAATTGACAAAATATATAGTATTTTTTATTAAAAGGATTTCTGGTAATCGATTTCCATCTATAAACACTACGTACAAACAGACGAGAGAAACACCATTCCTTACAGGAAGCCCCAAAGGAAAGAGATGAGATGCTGTCTTAGTCATCTAGTGCTGCTATAACAGAAATACCACAAGGGGATAGTTTCAATAAAGAGAAATTTATTCTCTCACAGTCTAGTAGGCTAGAAGTCCAAATTCAGGGCGTCAGCTCCAGGGGAAGGCTTTCTCTGTCGGCTCTGGAAGAAGGTCCTTGTCATCAATCTTCCCCTGGACTAGGAGCTTCTCTGCGCAGGAACCTCGGGTCCAAAGGACACGCTCTGCTCCCGGCACTGCTTTCTTGGTGGTATGAGATCTCCACTCTCTGCTTGCTTCCCTTTTCTTTTATCTCTTGTAAGATAAAAAGTGGTGCAGGCCACACTCTAGGGAAACTCCCTTTACATTGGATCAGGAATGTGACCTTAGTAAGGGTGTTATAATCCCACCCTAATCCTTTTTAACATAAAATTACAATCACAAAATGGAGGACAACCACACAACACTGGGAATCATGGCCTAACCAAGTTGACACATATTTTGGGGGGACACAATTCAGTCCATGACAGATGCTCTTAGGAATCATACACCTCTTAGGTAGGCTTCACTAGTATTATTGTTGGCCTTTAAGAATTTTAGTTTTTAAGATTTAAAAGATGAACTGGGTAGCTTTAGTAAAATGTAAATCAACCCTTCTATACTCATATATTGGAGTGTTCCATTTCAGGGAAATGTGTCCAAAGGTCCTGGGCTAGGCAGATATGAGAGGAATCAAATATGTTTGACAGAGGCACATGACAAAGAAGAACAAAGAGATTTCAGAAGTAAAGGATCTGATTGTTTTCAAACTGACCAATATGAGATGTTCCTCATCTCTGCAAACCACCTGACGGGGGAACTGAAGAGTTAGTAGTTCCTCCCCATCTCTGACACAAAAAAGAGGAACAAAAAAAGTCCTAACATTTTGGGCAAAACCAGGAGGGCAGCAGTGTTGAGTGTATGGGGGGGAGGTCTTCAGATGTCCCAGAAGGACTGAGCAGCCCTAAATGCTCCAGCAAGTCTTCTGAGGACAAGCCAACAAAGGGCCCTACAAGACATCAGGCTTTTGGGACTAGCTCTAAAGCAAACCCATTCCTTCTAACCACTGTTTCCATATGTGAGGGCCTCAAAATCTGTAGGGGGAGATTTGACTGGAAGGAAGAAAGGAGGGAGGCAGGAACGAGTTACACCAAATTTCTACTTTCACCGCTACATCCCAGTAAATGAGCTTAAATGTGAAGAGTGCTTAAGAATTAAGAAATGCCTCATTCAGGATGGGGGAGACCAGAAATCAGAATGAGGGCTGAAGAGTTCCACACTGCGCCATCCATAAACAAGTTCACTGGAAGAGTAGTAGAGAAGGAAAAACCATTGTTAGTAAAGAGCTTTTGGAAATAAAAATATTCTTTATTGGGTTAGTTTTTTTATGTTGTGAGGGAACAGCCATCTGTAAGAATGTCTATTCAATAAAATGTTGACATCATGACAACCATATTACCAAATTCACCGAGCTCTTAATCTTTCTGGGGTCTCTAAACAAAAGAAAAAAAAAAAAAAAAAGAATGAGTGAAAAGAACAAGATCAGAGCAGTGAGTATAGTAAGCTGTTATTTGTGGAAAAAAAAAAGGAATACACACAAACATATACACACATATATACACATAAATGGCTGTAATACAAGTGACAATACACCATGGAAATGTATCTGATTAATTTTTGTTTCACCCACTATGCCTAGTAGAATGCCCTACACCTATTAAGCAGGTGTTTAATAAAAGTTACTCCATGAATTGAAAATAAAAAAAAAAAAAACCCACGATACAACTATTCATCTTTTATTAGCAACAACTAACTTCCTATGCATGTGCCTAGCTACTATCACTGAACGTTCTGATCAAAGATTCTACTGGAGAATCCTTCCTGATCAAAAGGGAAAAATGCAGAACAGAATTTCAAATTCCCATGGAATCTAGACTTTCTGGAGCCAAGGGGGCTGGATAAACCCCCAATACTACTGCCCTGAGATAATCTTTAAACCTTAAACCAAAAATATCCCTGTCTTAGTTATCTAGTGCTGCCATAAGAGAAACACCACAAGTGGATGGTTTTAACGAAGAGAAGTTTATTTCCTCACAGTCAAAGTAGGCTAAAAGTGCAAATTCAGGGTGTCAGCTCCAGCGGAAGGCTTTTTCTCTCTGTCGCCCTTCTCATCCATGTTCCCCCAGACTACGGGCTTCTCGGCGCAGGGACCCCAGTCCAAAGGATGCGTTCTGCTCCCAGCACTGCTTTCTTGATGGTACGAGGTCCCCCTGTCTCACTGCTCACTTCTGTCTTTTGTATCTCAAGACACTGCCTCAGGATACAATCCAATCTCGTAGACTGAGTCCTGCCTTACTAACACAACTGCCGCCCATCCTCCCTCATTAACATCATAGAGGCAGGATTTACAACTTATAGGAAAACCACACAATACCAGGAATCATGGCCCAGCCAAATTGATACACACATTTTTGGGGGGACATAATTCAATCCATGACAATCCCCTAAAGTCTTCTTAAAACCAAACAATAGTTTAGCTTAACTAGTAAAGAGTGTCTGCCTTCAGCATTGTGCTCTTTTAAGATCTATCTATATGGGATCAAGTTGACAACAGCAACTAGAAAAATTAGATAAGAAACATAGGGGGCAGTCGGTTTATGTGAATGAGGGAGGAACAATTTGGAAAAGGAAGGTGAGAATGACTGCACAACTTGAAGAATGTAATCAACGTCACTGATTCACAAGTGTTTGTGAAAGGTAGTTGGTTATGTATTTTTTCAACATATCTCTAGTCTTATGATGATGCTTGCTAGCTGTGAGAGTAAACTCTCAAAATAAAAACATATGTTTAGGTTCCCCAGATCATATTTACTCAATTCTCTTTGGCAGAAATAATGTTCTCTTCTTCTGAACACTTATAAAAACTTATGTATATGCCTCTTATATTTAGCACATTTATGTATGTATTTTTCCTCCCTTCTGGACAGAACATTCTGAAAATGGCTGGATTTATATCTGATTCATTTTTTTCACCCACAATGCCTAGTAGAATGCCTTGTGCATAAAACGGTGCTTAAAACTTACTCCATGGATGAGAAAAATAATTATACCAACTATTCATCTTTTACTAGCAACAACTAAATACCTACACAAGAAAATAGGTGAGTGTCTACATATAGATGTAACCTCATAATAGGACTACTCCCTGGACTTTGTACACTGCCTAGTGTTTTCTGTGTCAAATCACACTCAGTCACAAAATGTAAATAAATCCTTCTGCAGACACTAAACCAAAATAAATCCACCTTCCTAGATGCAAATTTTGTAATAGGAGCTTAGACACTGATATTATATTCTAACATTAGACTTTACCTCAAAAACAACAAAATAAAATTGGATATATGTGTGTGTGGATGAGCTCTGTTACATGCAGCCAAATGGATTCCTAAATGACATGAGAAACAAATCTCACTCTACCACAGATTCAAGCTTGTTTAAAATCCAATGCGTGCCCTGAGACACCCTTTAAACCTGGAACTGAAACTACTCCTGGAGATCACCTTTAAGCTAAATAACTGATTAGCTCAGCATTACCTGTGAGTACTAGGCTCTTAAAAAAAAAAAAAAAAAAAAAATTATATGAGACCAAACAGTCAACATTTACCTTAAAGCAAAGATGAGAATGTAAGCAGGGGAGAGGGGCAGGGAAGCTAGATTAATGGAAATGGAACAACGAGAATGGAAATAATGAGAATGTTGATACATTGTGAAAAATGAAACCATTGTCACTAAACTATATGCATAGAAATTGTTGAATGGGAACCTAATTTACTGTGTAAACTTTCACCAAAAACACATTAAAATATTACTGAAAAAAAAAGACACCA